GTTTTTCCACGGTGCTGGTGTTGCTGCTGCTGTTGCTAATATGGTCTTCTCTGGTGTACTGTGTCTGGTGCATGCTTTTTCTCTGGTCTATATCTGGTGATTGTGTATCCTCTGGTCTATCTGTGGTGGTGGTAAGTGGTAAGTATCTTCTTTCTTCTGGTCGGAATGATATAAAACTTCTTTGAACGTTTGTATTATTGCTTCCTTTCTCGTGATAATGCATTTTATCATGATATTTACTTTGTTGCGCTTTCTTCTTCTTTCGCTGGTTTCGTTGCCTCTGTGGCTTCACATGAGACAACGTTAGTCATTATGTTGCAGTGCAAACTTGCACCACCATTGCTTTTGCAGTTTTGTGTGTTTGCGTTACTTTACATTCGACTATTACCATGCACTTTGCTCATGTATGCAATTTTGTTGCAACAACGAGCTCTTTTGAGCATCTCTGATGTTGTACTTGTTATACTTTTCTTTGAATCACTTTGTGTGAGTATCCCTTTTTTGCCCATGCACTACTATACTCTTATAGTATTATATTCATTTGTTCCTTTGATTATGTTTCTTTGAAGCATACCTTTTTTACGTTGTGTGGATGTGCCTATCCCTGAAGCTCAACAAGACATTATCCGAGGCTAGGAGGTAGATAGGCCGCCTCCACTTGGTTATCATTACTTACTTTAGTGATGATTGAGAGTCTCAACGCCAGAATCTAAAGCTAGGTGGGGTAAGTAAGGCATGCTCTAGCACCTGGGGGAAATTTGATGATAGTAACGGCTATATTGCTATATATATCGGAGCTTAAAATTTTGCCTCACATCAAAACAGGGGGAAACCCTCGCAAATTTTTTTTTAGGTCAGCGGAGTTTTCAAGCAATCTGATTGGTTGATGGATCGAAGCAGCGAAGGTCTACAACTAGTTGGTTTCCTATTGATCTGTCTAATGTTATTTTGTCTTTTATAATAATAAAGCCTTAATCAAATGGAAGTAGAAGTATATAGTCACACCTTTAATGTTCTTCAGAATGGACACTGTTCATGTCTCAATGAAAGCAATTTAGTTGTTGCATACAAGCATGCATCTTAGGGTACATTCACTTTCTCCTCAAGCTACTTTTTACAGTGTAGCAACATAGGTATATACCGTAATTGATGCTATTATATAGCTTGTACACAATTAGACCTGATTTTTAAATGTTTTCAGGATTTTCAAACGAAAGCATGTGATGAAATTATACCAGCTTACCTGTACCAATACTCATTGCGTAGTCCTAAGAGTTATGTATTGTTCAAGACCTTCTTGATGTATCATTTCTAAACCGGATCTCCAAATGGCTAGGAACAATCAGTTCAAGCGCAGATCACATCAGATCATAAATTTTGACATGAAACAGGATTCAGTTACGATCCGTATCATGGCATGTTCAGGATAATAGATCCAATCTATTATCCTATCACCCAAATCAACCCATCTGATATCTTATCCTCACATCAAATCCCTCAATTCGAATAGTATATAAACCCTCTTATTTCCAATGTAATAAACTATATTCTTTACCTGATTAATTGCTTACTCTTTTATATAAATAATTTATTTCTGATAAATCACTTCTTACTCAAATTTGTAGAATTAGTTCTCATGGATCAACACCACCACCCAATAGGCTAGCCCCAGTTGAATCGTCAACGTTCTGCCTGCCTTGTTGATCCCACCTTTACCATCGCTAGCATCCGTAGCACTAAAAGAGAGTGTTGGTGGATGATGATGAGTTGAATGAGCGTCCTCTGAAGAGATAGGATACTATTACTGCCATTCGAGGAGAACTATCTAGCTCCTCTCATCTTGCCCCTTTATTGCATCTCCCTCCTTTGCGAAGAAGGACAGCTATGCCCTGGATGTCACAATTCCCAACTGACGATAATTCATATAAGAAAACTGTAGCATTGGGGAGGATGGGCCTGCTGGCAACGAGAAGGGTCCTCGTTGACAGATACATTTTGACAGTAGTGTCACTGAGTACCTGCTTAAGGACGATGATAAACCTTACAGAGTAGTAGATGCCAAACACTTTGCATATCTTCGTGTTTCAAAATGATGTCTATCTCAAACACAGTCTGCCAAGTTTTCAACATAGCCAACAGTTCTCAAATCATCAAATGCAAGCATCTATTGCTAACAATAGCAACACGAACACATCTTATGCTGGGTGAAGCATTTTATTATCCTCTCATCCCACATTTTATGAGTGCATATTTGGGTTCGTCAACGTGAACAAGATGCAGCAAAGGCTGCTTCTATTGTCAGCTCAGAACATTACAATATTGTCACCAGACACAAGGAATTAAAAACGAATACTCTATCTGCTAACTAGTACCTCCTTTGGCTGCCCAAGGCTCTATCTCCTGCCATTAACAAGCGGATCCAATGGCATCGCAACATTGAAGTTTTGTTAGCTGACTGCCAATGCTGCTCGTCAATTACAAGCAAGTTCTTTTGCGTTTGGCTCGTGGTTATTTACTTGTATCAACACGTAATGCGAATCTGGCTCCCTCTGAAACTTGAAAGTTGTTTATTTCAGACCTAATGTTTAGCTGTACTCGCCCCGTTGCTCTCTTGCAAAAGTGTTCAGAATGCACAACAATACTCAGAATGGACACTCCAATAACAATGTATATCAGTAACTTGCGTTGGGGCGTATGGAGAACAACTGGTGGTAATTGTGCAATCACAAACGCTGGGGTCGGCCGTCAAGATTAGAGTCATTGAAAAAACTTGCCTACCGTGCTCAAAATCGAATATAGGGAGACAAAAGTACTGCTCTAAATCCCGCCTTGTGAATGTATGCATCAATATTCAACTGATTTAGCAAGCACTTGTGAAATATACGATGTGAATCCAGCAATACTGAAAAGAATCACTCATACCTCATTCAGCTCTGCATTCCTTGTAGTAAATTCCATTATTCACAAAAAGAACATTGACATGAATGGTGCTAGAAATAGAAGAGATGCCTGTCTTAATCGTACAATGTCCGCTGGATACCGCCACTGTGAACCGATTTTGTGCCATAGAACGTAATCACTAGCCAAGATGATGCTGATAACCCTTTTCACCTCGCGCGCATATAGACAAGATTAATGATGTCTGTGCTTTTACTAGTAGGTAGTGGAGAGTTGCATCGAGCACCTGAGGTTGAGATGTCGCACCTGAACAGTCAATTTGCAACAATCAAAGGCTCAATAAAGTAAGCAATGGTAGTATTATAGTTGATATATGCATCTCCTGACATGTTAGCCAAAGGTAGACAGCCACATTGAATTATATGAGCTCCTCGTTCAGTGTAATTTACATGAATTACAATGATTTTCAAGAATACAATTGAATGTGATGGGCATGTGTCACATCGTTACCAACGGATTGGATTTTTGAGAGTCTACATCATTTTTTCATCCATCGCTGTTGTTTGCACTATGATTCTGTAATGAATCTGAAATGCAGACAAGTAAGAATTTATGTCTATGGTGGTCATTGCCTTGACATTCTGATAATACTAGTATTATGTCTTTAGCACGTCTAGGTGGCTCACGATTCTAGTTTAAGTTCATTTCCTGAATGAATTGGCATCTCTCTCTCTGACCATAGCTACGCATTTCTGGACGATCAGTATCTCAGCAAATGCATTTATCAAGATGGTTCTTGCTGTACCTGAGTCAAATGCAAGGTTCATAACTTTTACTAGTTCTACTTCAAATTTGTTTGGTGGCATTTGCCCTCCAGACCATTTTATAAGAAACCTGCCACGGAACAGGTACGTCTGTCAACGTTCAAGTCTTTACGTGTATACAGAAGTCTAGCTGTTTCTCAATACAGAACCATACAGCAACTTCATTAGAGCCATATCAAAATAACGAAGCTGCTTAAACATCACGGAAGCGAAGAAGTGATCTTCTGAATCCCCAAGGGTCATTTGTACCAAACACCCAGAGTCCACTGAGGTTGTCTCTGATCTACAGCTTCTTTTTATTAGAGCGTTTATTACACGGCCATCGCAGTTGTGTGAATTTAGGTATGGTTTAGAGACGCGAGCTCGAAAAGTGTGAATACAAGGAAATACATGTAATCTTTGATTTCGATAAGTCCTCCCCCCCCCAAACTGTCGCTCAGAGGTCAGCGACAGAGTCCGTAGACTGTTTCCTTGGCTCAAAATGCAGGTCCATTCATTCTTGACCAGCTACAGTGAGGCTCCTTGATCTTTGTATGTTTGCGTGCTGGCCATCTCGGATTCCTATTTCAGACTCTAAGAGTGATTTGACAAAGAGTATTGTTAAGAACTTGTATTCCAATGGGCATTTGTAACCTAAAGTAAAAACGCGAATATCAGCAATGGAAGTAAATTTGGTACTGACAATGAATAGATACTTACCTACTACATTTGGCTCGGCAAACTCGTGATTGCAATAATGACATGCCACACAAACTACTCTGATTGCATCAGTGAAGCTGAAATGTGTTCAGATGTCGAGCAAAACGTATTTGCAGCAACAGCCTTCACTATAGCTATATATACTGGAACAGGCTGTCTCAAAGTATGGGGAACCCTCAACCAAGCCATTGCAGCTTGTCGAGTTGGTCACTTCTTGATCGGATGCCCACATCAAGGAAGCTGAAACGTATTCAGACGGCAATGTAAAACGTATTTACAAGGCCTCCTTCTAAACCATTTAGAACCAAATACCAAGGTACAAACAGGCCATACATAATAGATGATGCAATAGAGAAAAAGAGGAGAAATAGTCATATCGCAACTGGTAGGCTCACCAAGCTTTCTTCAGTATTAATGTTTTTATGAAGAGATCTTCAGCAAGAGAGAGGAATGTAAAATATATACGTAGTAATAAATGTTGGCCATTCTTTCGTTCCTGAATTCCCATTTACAATCCACCAACATCACAGTTTTCAACTACTCACATTTTGCATTTTCTTTAACACTCAAATTTATGAAATGCCATTACACTACTTTGAAACTACATCACCTGGTGATTGGCGAATAAAGGACATCTTTGAAGCTATTCAGAAAAAGTATCCAGATAAAGAACAATCCTACCACGGGCTTGCGACGAAAAAAGAGCTAGAAAACTTGAAAACTCATCCAAAACAGTCTTTTCGAGAACGCGCACAGAGTTTGTTGGAAGATTTCAAGATACCCCCATCAGATCAAGAAAGCATCACATCATCTATCCAGTTAGCGAATACAATTTTGAACAAAGCCCAGATTATAAATCAAGCTACACACCAAACCATTCAGCAAAACGTATCAGAAAACTCAGTTCATCCAAGAAAGTGTTTGCGCAGCGAGCTTCAAAATGTACCCATATCCAGTAATGATTGCGAAGATGATGATCTTGATGACCTCTTTCCTTCTGCTACTGATCAAGACAACAAGGACGACGACTCCATGTAGGTGTTCGTAAAGTGCTCATATTATGTGTGCAGTGACAGGTTATTTAATCCAAATAATGAGTAAGTCTGATAAAATAGCATGGATGAGGGTGCTGATGTAGGATTCTAGTGCTGAGGCAAACGTTGATTTCGATAGTTTACCCACGATGGTGAATCCAAAGTTGAACCAAGCAGTTCGCAGCAAGCTTCAAACTAATGCCAAGTATGCTGTCGGTGATACTGAATACCAAAGTCTGTTCGCGCAATATAAGAAGAAATGCCTCAACGATCTTTCACAACTGGACGCCATTTATCTCGAGCCAAATTTCCACAAGCTTATGTAAGTGTTTTTGTTTGTGTAAGTACTCTTATTCCTTTTGGTAGAGCTCTTGAAAACATTCTGTTCTTGAGGCCTGGCTCCTACTCCACTGACATGTTGCACCTTTTTGGAGAAGCAAACCTGAACAAGCTCTACAAACATTTGTTGAAAACTCATTACTCTTTTGACACAACTAAACACACAGACCTGCTTAATCTCATCGATGATATATTTGAAAAGGCGTTTTTTGATTACCATGAAGTAGAGGCAAATCTTGAACAATTATCACAAAGCATAAAAGATGTATGGCACGAGAATAATTCGATGCGTCCGAGAACTTTTGGAGTTTTTACCTCGATATAAAGAGGCTGAAGCTTTCAACGAATGTGACCTAAAGGCTAGATTTCTGGACCCAGTGGTTAAAATACTTCCTCAAAGACATCAATGACACATTCCGCCTTCGCTACCCAGAGTCGAATCCCAACAAGAGGAAGCTCGTAAAGAAGGAAGTATTGCGTACATATTGTCTCGTAACCAATATCCCTCAGTCTCAGTATCGTGAAAATATCGCCTATGGTTAGGTGAAATCGTCTTACTACACAAATCGCACTCGGGCTCTCATTCTGGGTATGTACCGATTGGTGTATTCAGCAAGTCAACGACAGATACTCACAAAATTAATGCGGCCATCATGCTACAAGTCGTGGGATTGAAAGTCAATGTGTATACGCTTGTGCTCATATCCCAGAAGTTCTATGTTACTTTATTCTTATTCGATTTCATCTTGCCTCAATGCAAATCAGAAATCAAAGATCTTTTACCCAGCATCAAAAAACTAGTCGCAATGAATGAAGCTTTAGTCAAATGTAGCAACGGAGACAACAAGGCCGACAGCGAAATGATATGCCCTAACAACGATACCCCTTTATTCGAAAGACGAGTTGAAACCAAAATTGCCAAAGAAGATTCCGACAGTATTCATCTGTGTTAGTTTAGTTCATTACCACAAAGACCTTGTCGAACAATTCGATGGCCAGGTTAGATCAAGCATTATTAGGCAAGTTAAATGCATTTTGTGGGCATTACACATAATAACTTTTTACTATTGTAGTTCCTGAAACTTCTGATCCATTAACCTGCTTATTCATTATATGTATAACCCCAGTGATCCTTTAAATTGCTTAAAATATACACATGGTATACCTCAGTTATCGCACATCACATACGAAAACTAAAGAGATTGTCAAAAGAGAAGATGCTCCCAAATGTGCTAATACGGTGGTAAATAGAGGAAAAATTTCTTGATGCCATGCTTTCAAGTAGCGTCAAATCTGATGGACAGAATTATGAGAAGTTCCCACCTGATAGTGCAAGCTTGAAAGGTTGCATTTGAAAAGAGAATTACTGGAGCCTGGAATTCGTTTAGAATCTGATACTATTCAAGTAGCTCAATTTGAAAAATAACCCTACAAATGCTGAAGAGTATTACTTGGTGATCTCTATTGAAAGATTTTGGTTCGCATTGATGGCGTCTATTCCACTTTTAGCTGCCTTCAAGGAGATGAACATTACTTTCAATTTCTGATACACCCCTAATACGCATTGTCTTTAATATATACGAGTGTTTATGCTTCGGATGGTTCTCTACCTTTACTTAGCTTGGGTGAGAGCCAACCTGCGTAGCGGCAGTTCGCGCTACCAACTGTCCTTGTTCGTCTCATCAAAATACTGCTATTTTCATTTTGACCTTCCACTTACACATGAAAATCCTTCATCCTATCTGTGGATCTGATTCTTATGTAATGCTCTACATCCATATACACGTAGCTTTTTCATATACGGGCAAACAGCATACTGGTATTTCTCCTTTATAGTCCTTAGTGTCCCTAATATAGCAAAAACCAAGTGCATTTGAGCTGCGTTTTCTCGCGTTGGAAGCCGTTTCAGACTGTCAGAATATTACCAAACAGTTGCTCTCATCTGGCAGTTACTTATTGCCACTGTTGCTCAACTTTTTGGGGACCAAAAAAAAATAGACAAAATTCGACCAAAAAGCATGAGGGGTACCTCATGCTTTTCATCAAAAACAAACGATCGCATTTTTTGACCTTGATAATAAAAACTTTTACTATGGTATATATTAAATCAAATTGTTGCTATCAATCCAACGCAACCCCTGAAGCTATTTTTGTGGGACCTTTATACGGAAAATCTCGACTTTTTGGCCAGAAGCCTCATTTCATATTTTCATAATTTGCTCAATAAATCTATTCAAAACATTTACCTTACTTGGTACCATTGGGTGCGTCTTGAAAAGTACTTTGAGATTGTATTAGGAAGCAATTTTTTTTGCAGGGGAGACGAGCTCCAGGTTTTATTTAAAGTCCTTTAAATGTCATACTGAGGGATACAAAAGACTGTTGGTGGACCCGATGTCTGCAATGAAGGGGAATAAGATATTTTTGAACTAAGTTGTGAAAGTAATCTACTACTAATAAGGTGCGACACCTAGAGCCAATACAGTCTTGCGGAAATCGTCAAAATATAGATAATGGATAAGAGTACAAAACACTGAACGAGGACATCAGTACTACATCAAAAAATCAAACAACTTGCGTTCACCAGGATTTGAACCGGGGATCCTCCCGTTGGCATACGGGAGTTCTACCACTTCGCCCTACCACCAGGGGCTATATTAGGAAGCAAAGGATGATCTTCACAACTTATATAGTCGAATCTTACAAAATAATTGAATCAAGTCGAAGAAAGACACTTTCTGTCCAATCTTGAACAGAAAAAATGTTCTGGATTTGAATCAATTTTGGCGGCTGGTGCGGCCGGCTGGCAGACACAATGCCCTTTCCATCATGAAGGCAATACAATAATAGATACTTTTGAAGCGTATGGAAAGTAGGTGGCAAATCATATAGCATTATCGTTAGCTATGCTGTTCTTTTTGAATCTATATTTGATAACGCCAGTCTATCAAAATACTTGTTAGATCAATTTCTTTCCTTTTTGAGGCTTTGAAAGTGTTTAGGGACCATAAATTTATCATGTTATGATATTACATACAGGCAAAATCTCTTGACGTTAAATTATATGTATATGATTAAATTATGTACAGGCTTTAAAATACATTGGTCATAGCAATCATTGGACAGTACAAGCTTTGAAACAAGATGCAATCATAAAAGAGCATAATATTGAAGCTAATGACAAGACGTGGTTGTTTTTTATTAATGTGTATTTGAGTTTATGAAATCACCATACTTGATGGATTAAAATATTTCAGATTTTTGAGGCTATTTTGACTTGTATAGATAGAGGTAGCAGAGATATAAGAATGACTTGGCCTTGTATAGATGTCAGGCATTAATTGTCTTGATAATTGATTGAGTAAGAGGAAGCACAGATGAGAGTAGGGCTTGACCTTGTATAGATGTAGAGATGGTATATTTGAACAGTCTTGTCATTTTAGGAGCTTGTAGGAGGCACAGAGAACTTGGCTTGATAGCATTTGGAGAGGACAGTTTGCTTTAGATGAGATAGAACATGAGATGGCAGAGGTAACTAGATAAAGATGAGATGAGTACACAAGTACTGTGGCATGAGTGCGTAACAAACCATTTGGGCAAAGAAAATTGACCATCAATAAAAGGAACCAACACTATATAAACAGGTACCAAGGTGTAAACTTGCTTCATCCATCACAAGATCATCGACACGCTCAAGCCGCCTCCATCTCCGGATCATAGGGTTAAACCCTACTCTCGTCGGCAATAAAGCTTGTGATCATCCCGTAGCATGACCAATGGATTTGTCCTGCAGTCTACCCATGATTATGAAGCGGTGATCCTACTCAGTCCCTACAAAGTAGTTTTTCGGCACTATGTAATCAATAGGTTAGTCAACATGGCTCATACGTCCAACAAGATAATAACTTACTCGCACAGTTCACCAAGGTCTGCATGTATCAAAGATAGTGTGGCCTTTTTCTAGCATGGACCAAGAGACGTAGAGAGGACCATGGATTTGTAAGGCATTGTATGTAGCAGTAGTAGAGGCCAATCGACAGTAGAGTATTTGATTTACTTGACCATATGTAGAGAGAGAGGAGAGCCCAAATGTCTTGTAGAGAGTTTGCTTGTATAGAGTATTTTGCTTGTTGTAGAGAGATGAGATGAAGAAGAAGAGGGAAAAGCTGTTGAAACAAATCCCTATTTATATCCTTCTCATCGACTTTTGTGTGAGTCCAGTATCCTTGCCACACTCAAATTCGTTTCCTTTTACTTTTCTCCACGATATACTACTTTGAGCGCGTGAAAATAGTACCATTTTGACGCTTGACACTTGCTCTATTTGATCCGCTTTGTCCGAGGCTTTCAACTGTTTTCTGTCTCGAGTTATGTCCATTTTGCTACTTCAAAAAGTCCTTTTTCCACCTTCACATGAAACGAGTTCCCGCATCTCTTCCTAGATGTAATTACCAGACAACTTCCCACGGGCTCAGCCTCATCAAAAAGTAAACAAAAAATGTCATTTGACACTGAAACAAATGCAGCTGGTTGCTTGATTAAGTAATCTTTCTCTACCTTTCCTTAATTTCTCTCTCCAAAATCACACAGTTCCCGATCCATCTCTCTTGTTGTTTGTATTCGCCATAAACTCTCCATCTAATTGGACAATACAGGATGATAAGGTTGGCTTACTTGTTGCTTACATCATCTTGGAGCCAGTGCAATTGATTCTGGATCAAAAGACAAGTGTACACCTCGGAAAGCAAGAGTATCATATGAATATTACTGCGGCTATCTCCATGGAATGGAACATAATGGATTGTTTTCGAACCAGTGCAAGTCATCTTGTTTCCAGCTATCATGGTTGCTGTCAATAATGTCAATCAAGTGTTTGCGCTACTAGATATCATCAATATGCCCACATTTACATAGTGAGTTGGTCATTCTCGTGTATCATTCCTGCAACCTGTTTTTAGTTCTTATGCCAAGAGCATGCATCTCATAAAGAGTCAACACATTTCATATCTTTTTTTTTAGGGATCGTCCTCTTTTAGAAGGTATTCGGATCATGCAAGATCAAAACAATTCATTTGCTAAGCAAAATTGAGCTTTAAAAAAATCACATGTAAAGTAAACAAAAGGACATGAATTGAAGAGAGATAAGCAAGTAAATGGCCAATTTGTGGTCAAAGAGAGGATATTTTATTAGAAGGTATGTACATCATTAGAAAGCAAATTGCTTGAGAAATTCAATGGTACTATTTTCAGGGTTCTAAGTAAAGTACACATTGCGAAATTCATCAAACAAGGCCGTGGGATTTCCAAAAGAAGGAGGTTTCTGAATTAAACTTCACCTACAATATCATTTTTGTCTGTGTGCTATTCTCTTGCTTTGGATCATGTTACGCTCCTCCTATGTCACCAGCCTGTCCTTTTTGGGTCTCACGTTGCGTATGCTATCTATTTGGGAAGGAGTCTCGCTTTCTCTATAATCGTTTCTGTGGGTATCATTGCCGTTATATTATAGGGCTTTGAGCAATCAAGGAGAGCCTTCTTTTAGCCAGCCAAAACGGATTACAATCCCGCTCGACTTTCTGTCACGATTCGTTAATTTTTGATCCTTTTGCGAATCGATCAACTTATTTTACGAGATTCGACTATGAAAGTTGTAGTGATCATCCTTTACAGCCTTAAGATATCTAGAAGAACTTTTCAATGCGCATCCAACTGTGTTGGGTATAATAGATACTTTGATTGAACTTGTTGAGCAATTTATGAAATTATGAAATGACGTTTTTGGCGAAAATGTCGAGATTTTATATATCAGGGTCTCACCAACATAGTTTCAGAAGTTGCCCTGAATCGAGAATTAATATCACCATAACATAATAAAGGATTATTTACCAAGTCTCAGTAGTGGGTGCCATTTGAGGTTCCCTGCTATTTTGAGACCCAGATTTACATAACACATTTTAAGCGATTTTTACAAAATCCACAGGAAAGAAAAAAAGATATTTATTAATGAGAATGCAACTATTGATGGTAAAAGAGGCTCAACTAGAAGTGTTGTAATTTTCTTCTTTTCGTTTCTTCGCAAGGAAAAAAAAGCGCCTTTTTGGAGCTCGGTGCCCAAGCGATCCAAAGACCAGTGGCGAGTGTTGAGTACCTTTTGTAAGGCGCCTACAGCAGAAGCGGGGGAGAAGAGGCCAAGATCCAGCTGAAGGTCTTCAACGGAATCAATGATTTTTTTATGGATATTGAACCATTTTCTGTTGTCTTTTCTCCATTTAGCGCCCCACTTGTCTTCTAATTCTTGAACAGACCAGAATCCATCTCGACCTATTGTCCACTCGTCCCAAAGATCACACACAGTTGTCACTTGTCGACTCATTTTGTATAACGGTACACCTTCTTGATTGTATGGAAGTGAAATAGTTGCAACTGCGGTGTTGTTGTAATCTGGTGGTGGTGGGCTTTGTTGGGCTTCTTCCGAAAATTGTTTTGATTACGATACATCTTCTGATCTTGGCAAGGCAGAGGTATTTGCGACAGCGCCTGTTGTCGCTACTGCTTGGTTCCCTTGGTCCATTCTAAAAGACAGTTGCAGTTGCTGCTTTCCGGTGACTATATTGTCAAACACTTTTTGCATTTGCTGCTGGATTTTATCCGACTTCTTTTGACGTTCATTCAATTCTCGCATTGTATTTGCTATACTTCGGTTGATGCTGGAAAGCTGCTCTTGTACTTCAGGCGCAAATCTTTCAATAATTAATGAATGGGGCACTTCATTTTCTTCAACGTGAGCTTTTGCTTTTCTATAAACAAAGCAAAAAGATCAGACACACAGTTTTCATTTTGAAAAAAAAAGCTTTATACCTTTGAAATTCTAGAAAGAGTGGGTTTCCGAAAATTTCGTGCCTCCAAATAGGGTGTTCAGGTATTACGTCCATCATCACAGCTGCGTTTTGTAAGAAAGTCGTCTTGAAGCATTTAATCAAAAGCAGAAACTTGTCGGCTGAACCAGAAGTTTCATGAACTGTCCCGCTTGAATGTCGATCATACCAATAGTCAACCCAGGGAAACACCAACTGCTTCAATCTGTCACATGGCTCCTCTTTAGCCCTAGGCAAGTAATAGCTAGCATCGCTTTCAAAGCCGGCCATAACGCGCATGAATTGGCGAGGAAGAGAATCAAGATAGGAGTTTGACATAGTATCAGTGTTCCAACCATCCATTCGTTGAATCTGCTGCGAAGGAGCCCCAAGTAAATCGGCCATTTTTGAAGCAGAACCCCGTGGAACATGAGTAACTTTTTTTGCTACAAAGATGTTTGCTGCAGCAAAGGCCATTTTCATGAACCTGGTATGAGCTGTCTTTGAGATCGAACATTCATATGGATTGCTGCTTATGGTTTCCTGCTCATCTTCGCTTGAGGCATCATCTTTGTCATCTACTCAAAATAAAATAATCGCAATTAAAAAATGAACATGATGAATTCGTAATAATAAGTCGATGATAATAATCAGTTGTCAACTGTATCTAAAACGAAAAGCAAAAAGCTTCTTTATTACAGGGCATCTAGCTTGCTTAAATATGGTAGATCCCTGGTCAATGACTACTACGTTGAGATAATATATAAATAGCAGGCCACTGGGGCCTTATGGATTGTTGGTATAGCTTGTTGAGAGGCCACCTAAGTCGATATGTTTCATGTAGTGTAGGTGGATCTCGGTATCTTGACATTGGGGAGATTGAATGTATTGTAGTTCCTGAGGCACCTGTGCACACACAGTTGACTGGACTTGTAAACATAGATGTGATGTGATACGATAAACATCATCTATGCTGCTACACTGTAAAAGGTGGCTTGAGGAGAAAGTGAATGTAGTCTAAGATGCATGCTTGTATGCAACATTACCCCCACCCAGCTTTCGACCAGCCACAAACTAGGATATCATACGAATCGAATGCAATAATCGAGGATACAACACATAACGAAGAGACAGAACCAAGAAACAAGAAGGCGATACGAACAGGTAGACAGGCAAAGCGATGGAAACCAATATGAAGTAAAAAAACCGAAATGATGCCAAAAAAAACAACATACATGGGGTATACGAGGAGAGGTTATCAGAAGATGATAGCAGCAAAGGGAATAGCAGATCGAAGAAAAACCTTGTAAAAAAAAAAACAAACCAAGGACAAAAAGATCACGGCTATTGCTGAATGTTGTGGTTACGAGAGTTTGGAATCGACGGGTAACGCAATCTGACGGACGGTCCTGCATGCTTACGACGACTATAAATCTTGCACTTATTGACAGTGTTGGGAAGGAGTCGATTGGGATTCTTGTGATCCGGTGCAATGCGATCCCAGTAGTCGCGAATAGGTCGTTTGGAATCAAAATCGCTTTCATATTGCCAGGTATTGTCCTTCGAGGACGGATAACCTACCCAATTGACAAGAAACTTCATTCGACCAGTCTTTCTTTCAACGCGATGATTGACGATGGCTTGCACTTCATAGTGGCGAGGAAGTAAGCCTTTTGTAACATGATTGTCCGAGAAATCGACAACGCGAATGTGCTGGGTAGGCACATCACGGGGCAGCAATTCACCAGTAATGTCGGCTAAAGTATAACTACCATTGCGAGTATAGTTCTTGATGAAATATGGACCGAGCCATCTGGGGTGAAGTTTAGTTGATCTGACAGGGTCGAAGAGCATGACGTTTGAATTGATGGGATACTTCTCTTCAATGATCTTGTGATGCTTTTCGAAGCGCTCATGGTCGCGCAATTGTGTTTCTTTGATACGCTTATGGATGGCAGGGATTACCACATCCTTAATGTTCTGTAAGCGGGCATCAATGACTTCCTTGGTAGGATCCTCGGGTGTCTGGTCAGCATTAGGCAATTGAGTGTAATCCTGGAAGAGATTTGGGGCACGCCCAAACATGATAGCAAACGGCTGCGATTGATGCAATCTAGTGTATTGAATGTTCATGGCATACTGAATGACATCGAGATACTCATCCCATGCCTCAGGTTCTGCAGCATCGTGTGTCAATGATTTAATGATGGATCGTTTCGAAATGCCCACATACGCTTCGACAACACCACTAGCTTGTGCAGCGTACGGCAACGAGGTCAAGCGATCCATACCACTAATCTGACTGAACTCTCTCATAAATGCTCCAACAAATTCAGAGCCATTGTCACTAGTGAGTCGCTTGGGAACTCCAAATAGACAACATACACTAAGCAATGCTCTTGCAACAGTGATAGGACTCTTATCAGGAAGAGCTCGTAGAATGATGAATCGACTGAAATAATCGATAATGACTAGCAGGAAGTTATTGCCCGAGGTGGAAGTCGTAGCGAAATCACCTAAATCGATAGCTATATGATCGAACACATTGTCTGGCAACACGCTACGAGGAGGATGATATCCCACTTGGTAGATACCATGCGATTGACAAGCATGACAATCTTTGGTTACTGTGGCGATTTCATTGCGCATGTTGGTCCAATGTACCTTGTAATCATTGTGCAAAATTTTTTCCATTGAATTGATGCCCACATGACTGAGTAAATGCACTCGCATAACAAGCTCTAGACGATCCTCCCTCGGAGGAGTCATGTAGTCAGCATATTTCATAGCACGTGAAATAAGAGCATTACAATCTGACTGTCCTCCAGATGAACCATTGTATGAACTTTTGGCATCAGCAGTCTGTTGATTCTTTAAATCTTGAGCGCTGACAGATGGCATGTTGTAGGTGCTCGCATCAAAAATAGCAACATTGCTATCATTCAATTCCTTGGAATAACAGTGTGGATCCAATTCGGTTGGCATCCCAAAGGAAAGCTGCTGCAATTGCTTTTGATTGTTGAACTGCTTCTTGCGTTTGAACTGCGTACGATTGGAGTGATTGGGCTTAGCAAGAGAAAACTGAGTGGCTTGGGACTCTTTGGCGTTGGTGAAGCCATGTTTGTTCTTTCGCGTAGGTTTACGCTTTTTTTCAGGTAGCATAATACTTTGATTGTTATAACAATTACCCCCACCCAGGTTATTGCCACCCTCGTCATCGTCAGAGGTGAATAATCGACTGAGTGCATCAGGTAATAGGTTACGCGTACCAGGGATATGAACCAGCTCATACTTGTAATCAAAGAACAGTTTTTCATACCACGTCAACAGCATCATGTTGGGCGTACTTTGTGTTTGAAGCCAGATTAAAGAGCGATGATCTGTGTGCAAGACAAACTCAATACCGAAAAGCCATTTGTGGTATTTGGTAAGCATGTAGACAATGGCAAGCAACTCACGTTTGGTGGTAGAATAGGCCATTTCAGAAGGGGAAAGCTTATGACTCGCCATGACAACGTAATGAACCACGCCATCCTTGGTGTAGTACATGATACCACCGATAGCAGTAGCTGAGGCATCAGTAACGACGTGCAGCTTGTAACGAAAATCAACTGGGCTGAGAGCGACTGGAGATGACAGAGCATCCTGCAACGATTTGAATGCCTTGGTATGCGCATCAGTCCACAAACCAGAAAGGGATTTACAATTGCGCAATGCATCGAGAGGTGCTGCCAGTTCGCTGTATCCAGGGATGACATTTCGAAAGTAATTGCAAAACCCCAAGTACTTCATCAGCTGCTTACCAGTGGTAGGTATAGGCCACAGATGAAAATTGGTCAATTTGCGAGCGTCAGGCACAAGGCGGTTCTGAATGATGCTCCAACCCAGCACATGAGTACTGCGCTGAGCAAACACACTTGCCCTGGTTAATTTGGAGATTAGCCTTGGTCAGACGACGAATCACCTCAACGACCAACGCAACGTGCTCATCCAGAGAGTCAGTGTACGTAAGGCACTGTAAATCGTCGATATAAAGTGACACCTGATCAAGCATGTCGGTAAACAAATTGGATATCAAGCGCATAGCTAAATTGCCCATGAAATTTACTCCAAAGCACACCTTCCTGTGGACCCATTGCATTTGCGTGAATGGATCGGTAAAGGTTAACTTGTGGCGATGACGTGGATCGACCAAGAAACTCGTGAAGAAACTTTTGATATCGATGGAACTTGTCATGACAGCGCGGCTGTGACGAGCACGGATTTCATCAATGCGAGGCATAATGTACTTGTCAGTGGAGACCAAGATTTGGTTGAGTAGGCGAACGTCAGCAACAATACGTGGCTTGTCAAACGAATATTCACCATTAGAATTCTTTTTGGCAATGACGAGCAAAGGAGAATTCCAGCCATTATGACTTGGACTGCGCTCAATGACACCATCTGGTTCCCACTCCATCAACTGCTTAGACACAGCTTCCTTATAGACAACTGGAATAGGATAGGGAGCACGATAGGCAACCTTACCAGGGATTGTCTCGAGTTGGACAATCGCACCAGGCAAGTTACAATGAGTAGTGGCAAGATCAATGGCAGCATTTTCTACCAATAACTGTTCAATAGGTTTGAAAGCCTTTGCACGCTCAGCAGGTGATCCGTATGGATCGTTATTAGGCTCGATGTCAGGATCAATGGGGTCGGGAAGTCTGGGTCCAAGCTCTTCAAACCATGTTGAAGCAAGGCCAGTGATTCCAATCTGTAGATCAGGCATGATATCCAACCCAAGCAACATGGGGCAATCATCCGAATCAGTAAAGAAATCAAATATCTCAAATGTGTGAATAAAACTGCGTTTATTATACGCGATTTTAAGTGAGCAAGTGCCAATACGAGGTTTAACACTGTCTGTATGGCCTAACTGGACCTGACCATGAACAGAGCGGTTGATTTGAACACCAAGCTGGTTGGCGAAACGAGGGGAACAAATTGAAAATGTACATCCCGTATCTAAAACACCATATACCTTGTGCGATTCTACGACAAGCGGAATAAGAAGTGAATTAGACTTATTGACAGGCAAGATGGAACGTTGATTATCCTTACATTTGTGTGCATGAACTGCAGTATGTAGATCAATGTCCATAGGCTCAACAGCCGAGTGGCAATCACTTTGATCGTGACGACTCTGTTTAGCAACAGCAGCGGGCACCAACAACGAGGAACCAGATTCACTCGAGTTGTTGTTACTTTGCTGATCTTCCTGAACAACAACAGAATTACCAGTAGTAGGTTGGGCCTGAGGAGACGAAATAGACGATGACGACAATGCGGCACTGCGGCCACCATTGGTCTCGACAGCAAGACGAGACTGAGAACGCGGAGGGTTCTTTTTGATCACTTGCAAAAGCTCAACACAGTCGTCAGTGCTATGGGTCTTGCTATTTGGATGGTATCTGCAGAACTTGGCTGCACCAGCCTCAGACAACGAGCCCACAGTAGGATCAACAGCAGGAGCAGTTGCAATAGCAGTGCTACCAGCGGTGGTAGAAGACGACACCACGCCCTCTTGAAGGCGCAGCATACCAAAACGATGTAAGGTACTAGTAGGACCACCACCAGTACGCACAGCCGTGTTGCACTCATGGGGACCAGCAGAGTAATTGTGAGCACCACAAGTACGGCATCGATCTGATGCCTTGGCATCCGCAAGCGACATCATGTAACGACGACCCGATGCTTGGTTGCTGGTTGGCATAGAGTTGGCACCGCCTTTGTTTTTCAACTCTTCCAAGAAGAGCTTACATTCCGAGGTGTCATGGTTGTGAGGCTTTCTATGGTGGAAAGTGCACGACTTGGTAGCCTTGAAGTGAGGCTTGCCCACGCGGCCAGAAGAGACACCAGCACGAGACACAGCGGCAGGACTATCAGTAGATGAGGATGATGCCTTCATGGTATGTGAGCGGCGGGGGGGATGCAACTGGAGCCCATTGTGATGCAGCAGATCCAGCAGCAGTGCGAGTAAAAGCGGGTGCTGAGATGGCAGCAATCTCATTTGCGGTCATAGTTGATAGTGAATCACGAGCGATACTGACGATAATGTCAACATCGTAACTATCAATGATGCCCTTGGATTGACGGATGGTGTTGATCTTATCTTTGACTACCCAAGGAATGGCATCCAGGAACAACTTAGCCAACAAGTAATCGGATGGGGCTTGATCCAGGGATCGACGACGCAAGTCAGTAAAACGATCAAGAAAGGCTTTCACGTTTTCACCGGGCAAAAGTTGAATGCTCAACAAATCAGACGCACAACGTTGACGTTCTTCCAATACGCTAATGCCATAACGAGCCTTGATAGCCGACTTGAAATCATTCCACGATGCAGGAGCAGTGCAAGCAGAAGTGAACGAGCCGTACCAAGTACGTTGTTCTGGAGACAGCATAGGTGGTACTAAGCGAGCATATTCCTTGTCGAAATCCATCTTGTAAGCGAACATGACATCCTCAAACTTCAACAGACAAGCGTCGACTGTAGGAAATATAGGGCTTTTGGGGTCGAATTCATCCATACCGACCCACTGAAATGCAGGTAAGTTGTTGGGAAAGAAAACCGGTACTGAGGCGCTCTTGTTGGATTTGACTCCATCGACTGAGGATGAGCCAAACGAAGCAGCAGCCGAAGAAACGAGGTTATCATTTGCAGTAGCTTTGGATGCAAGCAAACAATCTCGAATCTGTATGATACTTTGAATGGACGTATTCAACTGGATCAACCGAGCTAGGGCCTGGGCTCTGGCCTCCTCACTTTGCTCGAGGAGCAAGGTCGTAGAGAGAAGCTGAACTTCGGCGAGCTGATTGTCAACAATTAGCTTCAACTGATCAGTGCGACCTTGAAGATCCACATCACTAGAAGATGAACTAGCAGAGGAAGGGGGATCGAGGTCCATCGCATCACTAGCAGTAGTAGTGGGAGCTTCGCCAGCTTGACCACCCAATTTCTGAGACGTTTCAGCGAGAAAAAACTGAGAAGGGCCAGTAATATCTACAGCTTTGGTGGCACTGGCGTCTGAAGGACGCAGCTCAGTGTTTCCAGCAGGCTTAGATTCGGAACTGGGGGGTGTGGTGGTACTTTGAGCAGACATCAGAGTATACAAAATTGAGAGGTAGTAGTAGTAAGAGTAGTAGTAATGATACAATCAAGGTTTTGATTAAAAAAAATGATGAATTCGTAATAATAAGTCGATGATAATAATCAGTTGTCAACTGTATCTAAAACGAAAAGCAAAGAGCTTCTTTATTACAGGGCATCTAGCTTGCTTAAATATGGTAGACCCCTGGTCAATGACTACTACTACGTTGAGATGGTATATAGATAGCAGGCCACTGGGGCCTTATGGATTGTTGGTATAGCTTGTTGAGAGGCCACCTAAGTTGATATGTTTCATGTAGTGTAGGTGGATCTCGGTATCTTGACATTGGGGAGATTGAATGTATTGTAGTTCCTGAGGCACCTGTGCACACACAATTGACTGGAATTGTAAACGTAGATGTGATGTGATACGATAAACATCATCTATGCTGCTACACTGTAAAAGGTGGCTTGAGGAGAAAGTGAATGTAGCCTAAGATGCATGCTTGTATGCAACAGAACACTCGATTTGCTATTACAAAAAAATCAGTTGAAGTTTACCTCTGGCTGGCTCTTTTCCTTTCTTCTTTTTTTCTACTTTTGCTGACTGGGGCCTAGCGCCATGAACTACACGAAGCTTAAACCAGTTTCCGTTTGCGCTCATGTCAGGGAAAGACTCCTTCTCACAATGCCACCTCCAAAAGAAATGGAAGCTCATCGCTGTAAATGGGCATATCTCGACTGATTTGTTACGCATACATGCGCTTGTCTGGGTCTTGTTGAATTTGTTTGTCTTCCCTTGATTAAAAATCATTAACATAGCTGGGTAGCTGCCATCGGATTGCACCTTCGCCAATTCATGGAACTGTAGATCTGCAAACTCAATATTTCTCACAGATTCTCCTCAAAGCAACAGATAGTGAGACATCAAAAATGCAACCACGTTTCGAAACCTATACTTGTAAAAGTTCTCTCCATTGCTGTAAATGCACTTCGAAATGGTCATTACTTCTTCCTTGGTGGTGTAACCATTCGCCATAGAGGACGTAGCACGATCGACATTGTTTGCTCTATTGTTTTTTGCTTCTCTCATTCGAACTACTTTTAGAAGCTGCGTGATAACTTTGGTCCTGGGAGATTCGTTGCTGTTGCTACCCATTAATCGCTGGTAGTTTTAAAAGATTCACTATTGCTGATGTTGAGGATATAGATCATCTCTGAGAGGCAAATGTATTAGGCGTTGTATATTACATAAGATCTGAGAATGAGCTGAGATGCATAGTAGAAGTGAGAGGTCTTTATTCAAGCAGCACGAAGGAACATGAGTGGTGCCATCAAATGGCTAATCTATATCCTGGTTCCTGGAGAGTGGTAGCCTAAGGCCTTTCGTCCCTGGAAGTGGGTTTCAATTCCAACAAATGTTCTTCCGTCAAAGCTATTAGGAAGAACATTCTATCCTAGATTATCTTTGTTGTTTATCCTTGACTGGTGATTCATGAGTTCTTATGCAGCACATTCTCGTTAACTGGTTCAAGGCTTATACAACTATCCCGCATTCAAGATCAAGGTCCTATTGCTGCGGCACTGTCAAATAACTATAAATACCTTTGATGTCTACACTAGTTTTGATCCCTATTCAATCTTGGAATAACATAATAGATATATTCAGTTCTAATTGTATTTACTCTGTCTATATTTCGTTATTCTAAACAGCTGAAACGTATACATTGCAAGTGCTGTAGGACAATTGTTTGTGTATTGCGTCAGTTTTGTTGATTTCACTCACTTCTTCTTCAGCACTATTGCCTAGTGCTTCGATATGTTTTGTACCAGGCTTTCGAACTTGACGGTTGATTACCTTTACATATTTGTTTAACTTTAAGTGCTTTTTCTTTATCGTTTTTTCTTTAAAAAGCTTTTTTTTGTTTACCTTTTCATACAAAAACGCAAGTAGCTTGTCGCCAGTTGCCTGGTGGCGTGTGGCGAGAGGTCAATTCGCATAGCGCATCTCGCAAAACCGAAGAAATTCTACTTGCTTTGCGCAATAGGATTTGGAAGTGTTGTATCCGCGGGCCTCTTGGATATCTTGATAGGCTTTGTCTTTAGTAGACATTTCCTCTTGGTCCAAAAGTCTTTCTGATATGCGGCCGTTGTTCTCCACAAATTTTGCAAAAGAGTCTTCGTCAGTACCTGCTTGATTCTTCTGATGTTTCTTGTCAATCAAGCTTGCGAAATGAGGAATATGGTCCCTTATCAACTGAGCATCGGGTGATGCATTCACAGATAATTTGCATCAAAACGGAAATGATATGATAATTTGCATCAATGACAGTCTAATGCTTGGTTTAAACCGAGTTCCAAATTACTGCCCATCAGAAAATTGATTAAATTTCAGGAACATAAGTACAAACTAAAAGCGAAAAAAAAGTTCTTTCAGGTGTTAATTAACCAAAAGAATACATATATCTTTTATGATAAGGCCTTGGATAACGCACATATCATTGGAATGTATTAAATCCTAATACTTTTTATGTAAATGTCAAATATACACACTTGGAACGAAAACTGGAACCCAAAGATCAATAACAATTGTTATTTGACAAAGTACTGGCTGATAACAAAAATTATCACTCCAATCGGGTTCCAATTTTGCTGGGAACCCAATTTTTTTTTGGAACCTCCAAAAAAAAAATAATAAATGTTCAGTCCTTAGACACTTTACAACCCCAATATGGAACCTGAGTTTCAAGGCATCTGTCAGGCCTGGCTCATATGAGAATAATGATTTTACAATCAATCAACAAAAACCACTGTTAGTTCTACCCTCTTTTCTCTGCTCAATTCTGTCAATTTTTTATTTGAACGACGTCTCAGAACCTCAGAGATTTCACTACTTACTGCTGACATCTTACGCAGCCCATGAATTGTCAATGTCCAGACTAACGTTATTAAATATAAAATGCAAGACGATGCCATTATGAATGATATAGAATGCAATAAAATATCATTATAAACGATTTATTGAAAGATTTGCGCCTGAAGTACAAGAGCAGCTTTCCAGCATCAACCGAAGTATAGCAAATACAATGCGAGAATTGAATGAACGTCAAAAGAAGTCGGATAAAATCCAGCAGCAAATGCAAAAAGTGTTTGACAATATAGTCACCGGAAAGCAGCAACTGCAACTGTCTTTTAGAATGGACCAAGGGAACCAAGCAGTAGCGACAACATGCGCTGTCGCAAATACCTCTGCCTTGCCAAGATCAGAAGATGTATCGCAATCAAAACAATTTTCGGAAGAAGCCCAACAAAGCCCACCACCACCAGATTACAACAACACCGCAGTTGCAACTATTTCACTTCCATACAATCAAGAAGGTGTACCGTTATACAAAATGAGTCGACAAGTGACAACTGTGTGTGATCTTTGGGACGAGTGGACAATAGGTCGAGATGGATTCTGGTCTGTTCAAGAATTAGAAGACAAGTGGGGCGCTAAATGGAGAAAAGACAACAGAAAATGGTTCAATATCCATAAAAAAATCATTGATTCCGTTGAAGACCTTCAGCTGGATCTTGGCCTCTTCTCCCCCGCTTCTGCTGTAGGCGCCTTACAAAAGGTACTCAACACTCGCCACTGGTCTTTGGATCGCTTGGGCACCGAGCTCCAAAAAGGCGCTTTTTTTTCCTTGCGAAGAAACGAAAAGAAGAAAATTACAACACTTCTAGTTGAGCCTCTTTTACCATCAATAGTTGCATTCTCATTAATAAATATCTTTTTTTCTTTCCTGTGGATTTTGTAAAAATCGCTTAAAATGTGTTATGTAAATCTGGGTCTCAAAATAGCAGGGAACCTCAAATGGCACCCACTACTGAGACTTGGTAAATAATCCTTTATTATGTTATGGTGATATTAATTCTCGATTCAGGGCAACTTCTGAAACTATGTTGGTGAGACCCTGATATATAAAATCTCGACATTTTCGCCAAAAACGTCATTTCATAATTTCATAAATTGCTCAACAAGTTCAATCAAAGTATCTATTATACCCAACACAATTGGATGCGCATTGAAAAGTTCTTCTAGATATCTTAAGGCTGTAAAGGATGATCACTACAACTTTCATAGTCGAATCTCGTAAAATAAGTCGATCGAGTCGCAAAAGGATCAAAAATTAACGAATCGTGACAGAAAGTCGAGCGGGATTGTAATCCGTTTTGGCTGGCTAAAAGAAGGCTCTCCTTGATTGCTCAAAGCCCTATAATATAACGGCAATGATACCCACAGAAACGATTATAGAGAAAGCGAGACTCCTTCTCAAATAGATAGCATACGCAACGTGAGACCCAAAAAGGACAGGCTGGTGACATAGGAGGAGCGTAACATGATCCAAAGCAAGAGAATAGCACACAGACAAAAATGATATTGCAGGTGAAGTCTAATTCAGCAACCTCCTTCTTTTGGAAATCCCACGGCCTTGTTTGATGAATTTCGCGATGTGTACTTTACTTAGAACCCTGAAAATAGTACCATTGGATTCCTCAAGTGATTTGCTTTCTAATAATGTACATACCTTCTAATAAAATATCCTCTCTTTAACCACAAATTGGCCATTTACTTGCTTATCTCTCTTCAATTCATGTCCTTTTGTTTACTTTACATGTGATTTTTTTAAAGCTCAATTTTGCTTAGCAAATGAATTGTTTTGATCTTGCATAATCCGAATACCTTCTAAAAGAGGACGATCCCTAAAAAAAAAGATATGAAATGTGTTGACTCTTTATGAGATGCATGCTCTTGGCATAAGAACTAAAAACAGGTTGCAGGAATGATACACGAGAATGACCAACTCACTATGTAAATGTGGGCATATTGATGATATCTAGTAGCGCAAACACTTGATTGACATTATTGACAGCAACCACTACGGCCCAACTGATGTTCTCATGAGAACATTGATGCGCTCATATGAGAATCTATTTGATGTTCTCAAATGAGCACATCGATGTTCCCGAAATGTGAAAAATGCTCTCATATGAGAACATCGGCGTTCCTAAAGATCTATTATAAGTCGGCCGATGTTCTTATGAGAACATCCGAAATGTTCCCATGTGAGCACATCCATATTCTTATATGAGCACATCGATTTTCAGAAATTTGAAAAAAAAGAATGCTCCTAACGGGGTCGAACCCACAACCTATCGGTTGTGGATCTGACGTTCTTCCCACTAAACTACTCGAATATCTTAATGAAATATATTCTTTTACTTTAATAAGTAGTTATTAGGTAATTTTAAATTGCCATTTTCTCGTGCAATATATAATACGTTTAGTAATTTTATGAATCTTACAGATAATAAAAGTCTCTCTGTTGCCTACAATATTATAGTTTAGCTATTAAAACCATTTTATTCATGTGGAAAACTACACCTTCTCAAATGAGAACATCAATGTGCTCATGAGAACATCGATGTTCCCAAAAGAGCGCATCGATGTTCTGTGAGAACATCAGTTGGGCCGTAGTGAACCATGATAGCTGGAAACAAGATGACTTGCACTGGTTCGAAAACAATCCATTATGTTCCATTCCATGGAGATAGCCGCAGTAATATTCATATGATACTCTTGCTTTCCGAGGTGTACACTTGTCTTTTGATCCAGAATCAATTGCACTGGCTCCAAGATGATGTAAGCAACAAGTAAGCCAACCTTATCATCCTGTATTGTCCAATTAGATGGAGAGTTTATGGCGAATACAAACAACAAGAGAGATGGATCGGGAACTGTGTGATTTTGGAGAGAGAAATTAAGGAAAGGTAGAGAAAGATTACTTAATCAAGCAACCAGCTGCATTTGTTTCAGTGTCAAATGACATTTTTTGTTTACTTTTTGATGAGGCTGAGCCCGTGGGAAGTTGTCTGGTAATTACATCTAGGAAGAGATGCGGGAACTCGTTTCATGTGAAGGTGGAAAAAGGACTTTTTGAAGTAGCAAAATGGACATAACTCGAGACAGAAAACAGTTGAAAGCCTCGGACAAAGCGGATCAAATAGAGCAAGTGTCAAGCGTCAAAATGGTACTATTTTCACGCGCTCAAAGTAGTATATCGTGGAGAAAAGTAAAAGGAAACGAATTTGAGTGTGGCAAGGATACTGGACTCACACAAAAGTCGATGAGAAGGATATAAATAGGGATTTGTTTCAACAGCTTTTCCCTCTTCTTCTTCATCTCATCTCTCTACAACAAGCAAAATACTCTATACAAGCAAACTCTCTACAAGACATTTGGGCTCTCCTCTCTCTCTACATATGGTCAAGTAAATCAAATACTCTACTGTCGATTGGCCTCTACTACTGCTACATACAATGCCTTACAAATCCATGGTCCTCTCTACGTCTCTTGGTCCATGCTAGAAAAAGGCCACACTATCTTTGATACATGCAGACCTTGGTGAACTGTGCGAGTAAGTTATTATCTTGTTGGACGTATGAGCCATGTTGACTAACCTATTGATTACATAGTGCCGAAAAACTACTTTGTAGGGACTGAGTAGGATCACCGCTTCATAATCATGGGTAGACTGCAGGACAAATCCATTGGTCATGCTACGGGATGATCACAAGCTTTATTGCCGACGAGAGTAGGGTTTAACCCTATGATCCGGAGATGGAGGCGGCTTGAGCGTGTCGATGATCTTGTGATGGATGAAGCAAGTTTACACCTTGGTACCTGTTTATATAGTGTTGGTTCCTTTTATTGATGGTCAATTTTCTTTGCCCAAATGGTTTGTTACGCACTCATGCCACAGTACTTGTGTACTCATCTCATCTTTATCTAGTTACCTCTGCCATCTCATGTTCTATCTCATCTAAAGCAAACTGTCCTCTCCAAATGCTATCAAGCCAAGTTCTCTGTGCCTCCTACAAGCTCCTAAAATGACAAGACTGTTCAAATATACCATCTCTACATCTATACAAGGTCAAGCCCTACTCTCATCTGTGCTTCCTACAAGCTCCTAAAATGACAAGACTGTTCAAATATACCATCTCCACATCTATACAAGGTCAAGCCCTACTCTCATCTGTGCTTCCTCTTACTCAATCAATTATCAAGACAATTAATGCCTGACATCTATACAAGGCCAAGTCATTCTTATATCTCTGCTACCTCTATCTATACAAGTCAAAATAGCCTCAAAAATCTGAAATATTTTAATCCATCAAGTATGGTGATTTCATAAACTCAAATACACATTAATAAAAAACAACCACGTCTTGTCATTAGCTTCAATATTATGCTCTTTTATGATTGCATCTTGTTTCAAAGCTTGTACTGTCCAATGATTGCTATGACCAATGTATTTTAAAGCCTGTACATAATTTAATCATATACATATAATTTAACGTCAAGAGATTTTGCCTGTATGTAATATCATAACATGATAAATTTATGGTCCCTAAACACTTTCAAAGCCTCAAAAAGGAAAGAAATTGATCTAACAAGTATTTTGATAGACTGGCGTTATCAAATATAGATTCAAAAAGAACAGCATAGCTAACGATAATGCTATATGATTTGCCACCTACTTTCCATACGCTTCAAAAGTATCTATTATTGTATTGCCTTCATGATGGAAAGGGCATTGTGTCTGCTAGCCGGCCGCACCAGCCGCCAAAACTGATTCAAATCCAGAACATTTTTTGTTGTGTAACACCATATCAATGGTATAAAGATCCAAGCATCCACATCAATAAACGTCAGTCTTTCTTCTTCCTACATATTATAGTGGTTCCTTTATTCCTGAACAATACACGGTGGGGCTCCCTAACTAGATTCTCGAACCCGGAAACCACTAGATATATCAGAGGCTCACACTCGACTACACCAAATCACGCATACCGCAAGATCACACATATCGCAAGATCACAAAACATCGCTCCAGCACACAGCTGCAATCTCCTACTCGCAAACAGGCCCGAACAACAAAACCAAATAACTACTTCACGCAGCAAGTAAAATTCATCGCATCCCTTCGAAAGGTTTACACCACAACAAACAGTACCTCGTTTATCACATCATCTTATCACACCACTTCACAGTCCTTTAACATGGCTGATTCCAACACCAAGGAGTTCATCCAATACATGAACCTTGAAAAGGTCAAGTCTATTGACATGCCACGGTATGAATCGCACTCTAGCTTACGTACCTACATCAAAGAATTTGAATTACAGGTAAATTTCGTAGGCATTGAAAACATGGATATCTGTACCGTCCAGCTAGGTCGCTTCATGCCTCCCGTCATCAAAAACTGGTTACCTACCTTACCTTCCTCAGTCAGACAAAACTGGGCCAACGTAACTGAACAAATGCTGTTACAATTTGGTCGTCCTGCCGACGAGGAATATCGAGAGTTCAAGTCCAATTTGAAGCGATGTCAACAACCCAAGCAGGAGTCCATCAAACTACATAGTGCTAAATGGAAACATTTGCTAAGTCTGCTGCCGAATAATCATATCTCGGATGCTCATCAAATCTGTTTATTTACTCAATCTCTACACGACAGAGGATTACCTGCTACATTAACAGCGTATGTAGAACTCGCTAAGGTCACAACGGTGCAAGAAGTTATCACGAAGGCCATCGATTTTGAACACAAGGCTAGGCTCAATGATAATACTGATGAACAAGCACACTTTTCGGGATCCCACACTCAATCCACGATGGATGACCCAATGGAAGTCGATCATGTTAATCGCTCAAACTCGTACAAAGACAAAAGTACTAAAAGACCATTCAGAAATAGCAAAAAGGCATTCAATTCCAAACCTCGTTCACGATTTCCTCCGGATCCTGTACCTCGATTATACAACAAACAAGGACATCCTGTCTGCGGTCACTGCTTCGGCGAACATCGTAATTACGAATGTCCCACACAAGCATCCTCTGTGTATCAGACAGACACTATTGAACACCCAGAGGATGACTCAGGATTAATGGAATTGGGGTCCCCGGTTCCTCTTAATCACATTCGTACTACTTCCATGCATGCTATTCGAACCACTCAACATGACAGTTTCACTCCCACAACCAAAATCGTCATTGGAGATCACACTATTCATGCATTATGGGACACAGGTTCTGCCATCACTGCCATGGATTATGACACATGTGTTACTCTGCAGTTGGCAATAGACAACAATCGGATCATCAGTTACACAGACGTGAACAATCGTACAGCACAAACGATGGGTATTACTAAATTGAATCTTTTTGGTTACGAAACGAAATTTCATGTTATACGCGGTTTGGCTCGTCAGGCTATCATCGGCTGGGATTTTATGTGCAGATTTCAGGTCAATATGAATACTAAACTCAAAATGTTCACACTACAATCTGACAATTATCATATAAACTTACATTACAAGACTACGGCTACAAGGCGTTGTAACATCCAATTAACCGATTCCCAAGATGCTCGGATACAAGATCTATGACAAGAGTTCAAAGAATTACTACGCAAAGACTCGGACAAGCCCTCGGTTACTACCAAAATGGAATTCACCATCGACACGGGAGACCATCCTTCCATCTACATTCGACCAAGAAGACATTACCATCCTGACATACAATCGAAGATCGACGCCAAGCTATCTGAACTGGAACGCAATGGAATTGTTAGTAAAGTCAACTTCACGGATTGGGGCTTCCCAGTAACAGCGGTCCCTAAGCCAAACGGCTCTCTTCGCATATGCGGAAACTACGTCAAACTAAATGCGATCACAAAGACTATCAAGTATCCATTTATTAACCTCTATCATGCACTTCAGTCTCTGGGCAATGCAAAATATTTTTCAAAAATAGATCTCCTGTCAGGCTATTTTCAAATTCCCATTGCTGCTGCTGACAGGCCCAAGTGTGCCCTGGTAACACCTAACTCTACATACGTTTTTAACACAATGGCCATGGGGATGAAAAATGCCCCAGCACACTTTCAATTATTAATGAATCAGGTACTCGGGGACATGAGATACAGAACTGCTATCGCTTATCAAGATGACACCATACTGTTCTCTGATACCTTTGACAATCATGTGCTCCGGTTACGCAAACTCCCAACGAGACTGAGAGAAGCCAATTTGACCGTCAACATTGAAAAGTGCCAATTTGGGCTAAATCAAATCAATTTCTTAGGTTTCATTGTCTCTGATCAGGGCGTCCATGCTGACATGGATAAAGTTACACCTATCGCTAATCTACGGGCTCTCACAAATATAAAAGAGGTTGAAAGGTTACTCGGCATGGCAGGAGTGTATTCCAAGTTTATATCCAAGTATCAAGTGATGGTGGAACCAATTCGACGCTTGAAGATCAAAGATGTACCATTCGCTTGGGAATCCGAACAGGAGCACGCGTTTCAAGAACTCAAAAGGTCTCTCGCTGCATTACCTTACTTGAAACAACCCAATTTCAAACTTCCATTCGAGCTTCATTGCGATGCTGCCACCTCAGCAGGCATTGCTGTCATACTCTGCCAACGGTACGATGACACACCTTACCCTCTCTCCTTCGCATCCCGCAGTGTCACCAAGTTTGAAAAAAACTACTCCATCCGTGAATTGGAAGCTTTAGCCATCATATTTGGGGTTAAGAAGTTTAGGATGTATCTTGAATGCAACCAATTTACCGTATTCACTGACCATTCATCCCTCCAGTGGCTTCTTAATACCGATGCGGACAAACAACCCAGACTTTGGCGATGGTGCCCCTTTCTACAGGCTTATGATTTCAAGGTTATATACGTACCAGGAAAGGTGAACCATGCTGCGGATACACTATCTCGTGCTGCGATTCATGCAATTGCCTCTCATCATCCGGACATCGATTGGGCCAAGGAACAAAGACTGGATCCCATGTTACGACCATACTTTAACAACACGAATGTCAAGTACACCAAGCATAAAATCGTTGATGGCATACTATACAAGGTAGAAAACAAACAGCACAAGACCATAGCCACAGACATGTACATAAGGGTACCTAGCCATCTGGTAGCAGATCTGATCAGCAAACATCATGACTCTAAGTTTGCAGGACATGGCGGTATCGCCAAGACCAAGGCTTCCTTGGCAAAAGCGCACCTGTACTGGACCAACATGACTCATGATATCAATGCCTATATTCAGAAGTGTCAAATTTGTCAAAGAATCAAGGGACATGTTTCTACTAATCATAATATGACCACTACCCATGGAACAGCTCCGTTCATCAAGGTCGCAATCGACTACTTTGGTCCTCTGCCAACGTCAAGCGCGGGACATCAATACGTTTTGGTGGTTATAGACACATTCACAAAATATGTAGAACTATATCCTACCAGATCAACAGCATCTCAAGAATTGGCTTCCATCATGTACACACAGTTCATATTGCGACATGGCGTTCCCAACGAAATCATGTGTGATAACGGAAACAGCCTTGGATCACAATTCACCCAGCAAGTAGCAAGATATGTAGACATCAACATTGTATACACACCGCCGTATCATCCATCAGCCAACGGGATAATGGAACGATTCATGAAAACACTATGAACGATGATTTTATCATACACGGAAATCAATCAGATATCTACAAGATGGAGCAGCAACTTGAGGATAATAATTCGATTTGTATACAGCAATATGTATCTTCATTCTATCAAGACGTCCCCATTTGAGTTGGTCCACGGGCGCACAGCACGCACACCATTATCAACGATAATACCAGAGAAATTACTGGATTCATACAATGAACAAGACACCCCGGAATCACACTTAGCGAAACAGTTACAAATCAAGCTTCAAGTTACATTTGAACATGTACACAAACATTTGGAGAAAATATATGATAACCAAAAACTAACACCATAATTTGAAATCAATGACAAAGTATACATCTTCAACAATCGTATTTCCACTCGCAACAATCCAAGAAAACTACAAGTAGATTGGATAGGTCCTTGCACAATACAGAAGGTCCTGTCCACCATAAGATACGATGTAATCAATGATGCCACAGGTCAAAAACACAAAGACACCCATGTGTCTTTTCTGAAACCGTCTCACTGATCAACTTCTACCCATCATCAAGCTTTTTCCTATATTAGGTTTTTTAACGCGATTTTCATTCATACATTCATATCATAGTCTTTATTTAAATTCTATATCTTATCACAGCGGTGGGATGTTGTGTAACACCATATCAATGGTATAAAGATCCACGCATCCACATCAATAAATGTCAGTCTTTCTTCTTCCTACATATTATAGTGGTTCCTTTATTCCTGAACAATACATTTTTCTGTTCAAGATTGGACAGAAAGTGTCTTTCTTCGACTTGATTCAACTATTTTGTAAGATTCGACTATATAAGTTTTGAAGATCATCCTTTGCCTCCTAATACAATCTCAAAGTACTTTTCAAGGCGCATCCAATGGTACCAAGTAAGGTAGATGTTTTGAATGAACTTATTGAGCAATTTATGAAAATATAAAAAGAGGTTTCTGGCCAAAAAGTCGAGATTTTCCATATAAAGGTCCCACAAAAATAGCTTCAGGGGTTGCGTTGGATCGATAGCAACAATTTGATTTAATATAGGCTCTTTCGCGTAACCATCACTACCCCTAAGGTGAAAATTACGCCGCTGCTTAAATCACACCAAAACTTTACCACTTCCAGCGTTACACTTTCCACACTCATGGCAACCACCACTAACCTTTCTTGGGTCCAGGTTCTCTCTCGAGGCCAGTCCAAGAAGGTCATCAATGCTCAACCTCAACGAGCTAAAGATGACCAATTCCAACTAGTTCCTGAAGTTCTGTACGAACATGACGATCTGAAAGCCAAAGTTCTTACCCGGAAGGCTGCAGCCTGTTGAGGATATAGATCATCTCTGAGAGGCAAATGTATTAGGCGTTGTATATTACATAAGATCTGAGAATGAGCTGAGATGCATAGTAGAAGTGAGAGGTCTTTATTCAAGCAGCACGAAGGAACATGAGTGGTGCCATCAAATGGCTAATCTATATCCTGGTTCCTGGAGAGTGGTAGCCTAAAGCCTTTCGTCCCTGGAAGTGGGTTTCAATTCCGACAAATGTTCTTCCGACAAAGCTATTAGGAAGAACATTCTATCCTGGATCATCTTTGTTGTTTATCCTTGACTGGTGATTCATGAGTTCTTATGCAGCACATTCTCGTTAACTGGTTCAAGGCTTATACAACTATCCCGCATTCAAGATCAAGGTCCTATTGCTGCGGCACTGTCAAATAACTATAAATACCTTTGATGTCTACACTAGTTTTGATCCCTATTCAATTTTGGAATAACATAATAAATATATTCATTTCTAAATGTATTTACTCTGTCTATATTTCGTTATTCTAAACGAGTTACAGATTCCTGGATACAAATTTTTTATCTTTGAGAACGAAAGATCACGTTGGAGCAAAGATTAGAGAGTGTTGTGCAAATCTTGTGTTAAACGAGCAGGCATAATGAAAGTTTTGAAAAAAAAATAAGAAAGCAAAGAAATTGCAGTGAAATCAGGTTTAAATAGATTTCACAAAAAAAATAAAGCAGAGGTAAAATACTGTAGGGGGAAAAACTGTCCCGTTCGTTTAATATTTTGTCTTTTTGCACAAGTTTTTGGTCATTTCTTTGTATACAAAATCGAAATATATATCGTTTGAATGAGAGAAAGTAGTGCTATCTATACATAATTATAACTTTTTCAAAAACTAAAATCCAATGATTTTATTGGTTAAAAAATAAATATAGAAAAATGTACATTTTATTATAAAATCATTAATAGTGAGTTGAACCACCTTTGCTCTTGATGACAGCCTTGATTCGGGCAGGCATACTATCAATATATTTCTGGCACTCTTTTTTTGTTATTTTGTACCACTGAATGTTAATACGCCGCTCTAATTCTTCTTTTGTAGAGGGCCTAGTAGGATACTTATTAAGACGAAGCTTTAGGAGATGCCAGACATGTTCAATGGGATTAAGATCGGGACTTTGGGGTGGCCAATCCATGATTTCGTCTAGGTTAAACCCATTGTCGGTGAACCATTGTTTAGTAATGCCCGATGTATGCGGTGTTGCTCTGTTTTGTTGAAATCGCACATCAGATGGTGTCTTCCCAAAGTGCGCAAGAGTGTCGTTCAATGATGTCTTCGAAATATCGACATACAAGCCCGAGTTTATTGCGTCTTCGATAATGGTAGTACCATAACCAGGCCCCTCCGCTGTTATGAAACTCCAGAACATGACCCCACCGTCATTTCCCTGCAACTGAGACTTGACTTGATACGACTGCATGATTCGGCCACCATTCGTCCAGTAAAAGGAATTACCATCTGAGCCCCAAAGGTTTATTCTTGTTTCATCCGAAAACACCCAACGACGCCAATCAGCAATAGTAAGATGCCTATGCTTTTTAGCCCACGCCAAT